TTTAGCTTGCTTTTAGCATCTTTTAGCCCAATGATCACATGCCATATAATGCCAACATATGCCAACTAATGCCATATAATGCCATGATATGCCATGCCATGCCATGTCTGAAGCATTCTGAAGCGTCAGTAAAAATCTTTGAGCATCCACACGTGCCGAAAGCCATCCAAAAGATTCCAAACGCGTCCAACGCCCGTATGTCATATTATATCATATTATGTCATCGTGTGATATCGTGCGTCCCATTATGTCATACTATGTCCCTTATTGTCCAATAATGTCCAATACTGTCCATTTCCTAGCCTACTCCGACCCACGGAATATCGCGGAATCCCATGGAGTTGAGCGCGGCCAAGGCGTTGCTGGCCCCATGGAGTCCCGTAATATCCCGTAGATGCCAGTAAGGCGCGCCAGGATATACCATGATACACCAGTCATATCCAGTCATGCAACTCTCACGCAGCAAGCCTGTAACATCCCGTAACATCCCGCAGTTCTGTCCTTTTCCGTCCTTGAAATTCCCCGCCCCTACCAAGCTGAGGTATTTCCAGGACGGCCCCAAGTTTGTGGGAGGAGGTGGGGCCCACACCTTCATCTCGCCGGTGGATGGCTTGAAGCTGTCGAAGGAAAACCTGGCTCAAGTTGCAGTGTCCTACCTTCTCAAGCGAACTGACACCAGAGGAGGCACCGTGGACATTCGCCTGGTTCCTCGCCGGTTGAAGGAGCCAACTGCGCCATATTGCGCCATATTGCGCCACACTGCGCCCAACTGCATCGTGCTGCATCGCAGCCTGTTACGATTTTAGATTTTTACACAATTTTACACATCTTGCTACGTTTGCACAGAGCTAGCATTTCAAGTGCCAAAGCGCTACCGATATCTACCAATATCAACATATTTTCACATATGTCCAATTATATCCAACTCAGCAAGCCATAGCAAGCCCTTGATGATTTGAAGCGCGTTTGCACAATTTTGCACACCAATCCGGAAGCATTGCTCGCTGCTGTCTAGCGACTAGCGTTGGTCAGAGATGGTATGGGATGGTAAGGGTGTGTGAGGGTGATTAAGGATGTCTGATTTTGCGATATTTGTTGAATTTGCTGGCGCTTTGCGGCGCTGTGATGCGCGGTGATGCGCGGTGTCTACATTTATCATCATTTATCTGTCCTCAATTATCTTTATCTACTGAGTTCTACTGATGCACACTGACGCAGGAGATCACGTCGTCTTCAACGCTGAAAGCAGTGGATGAGACACTGGCTGCAGCCACCGCTGCGAACCGCAATCTTCCGCCGTATTGCACGGCGTGCGACAACCATCCCAGCCAACAGCTGCTCAGCAAATTCATGGCCGGCATGGTCTCCGAGAAAGAGCTGGCCCCCTTCGAGTGACTTGCTGTCAAATTAGGATGAGATTTACATCTTTTTATATTCTGTTTGTATATCCCATTAGATCCCGCTACATCAAATCAAATTATTTCCCATTATGTCCCTCTGCTATCCTCTGCTCCAACAACATGTTTTTAGGGTCACACGCGAAGAGACGCAATATGACGCAATGGGACAACACTTTGTGATACGATGTGCCCGCTAGGCTTTTTCGTTTGCATTTTTAAAAAATTGGTCACATAGTGCCCCGGAATTTCTTAATTATGGTCACATGTGGCAACAGCTGACAAGCAGACACTACTAGAATATATTACAATGACTTAGAAGCTCTGATGGGGTCTGTTGTGTACGTTGCAGGGCTCCAATATGCTCCAATACTCCAGCATTATTCCGCGCAGTTCCGCGCACTGCGGCCTGCTGCCAGAACATCCCAGTATGTCACACACCAGGATGGCCACAGATAGACGCACATAGTCCATGACAGCGCTATAGCGTGATATACCATATCATGCCATAGCATGCCATAGCGCACGCGTGATCACGCGTGCCACTGCGTGCCATTGCGTCATATTGTTTCCCATGATGGCCAGAGCGTGCCCCGTGGGCGCTTGCAGGCGTAACATGGCGTAACATCCTGCGGAGCAGTGCAGTTCTGCGGCTCTAGACAGCTTGAAGTCATGCGAGGCCAAGTGGCGCAGCTGAGCGTCACTGAGCTCGGCTCTTTTTTTTATTGGTCACGCAGCGCGTTGCACGTTTCCAACCTTTGGTCCCAAGGCTGCCCTGAAATACGCGATAGTACGCGCTAACACGCGCTCTGAAGCCATCTGAAGATATCTGAAGCCGCTGAACTTGAGTCAGCCCATGTCAGCCCACGGAAGCTAGGCTAAATGCAGCTTATTGCAGTTTCACCAAACGAATGTGCCATAAATTGCATTGAATTGCCATAATGTGCCATAATGTACCTAAGCGCAGGACCACGCAGGACCAAGGCCGGGAAACTCGGAAAACCCGTGGCTGAGTATAATCAACTATAATCAACTATACTTCAGATTGCTTCAGTGTGTTCGGATGATTTTGGATGTGTTCGGCCATGTTCGGCCTGACTTGATCTATCTTGACCTACCAAGATCTACCAAGGTTCTTTCGCCGGTGCACTGTGCAGCGGACCGAAGGCATCCCACTCTGGTCGGGATTCGGGACCCTCTACTATGAGGGCAAGCATCCAGTTTTTCACTGCAGCGATCCGCCACACAGTCAAAAGGCCGCGGTTCGGAGCCTCCGTGCTGCTCGCCGGTGTGGCCGCGTTTCTGGCGCCTTCCTCAACCTTGGCTCGCTGGTGCCAAAGGGCTTGCCTCGCCTGAGCTACGTCGGTTATGACTACCAGTCGGACGTTGAAAGCGCTTGGACGCTCAACCCTGCCCTCGCCAGTCCAGCGTCCTGGGATTCCGTCGGTATGAGCTTCTTCCAGCTGAAGGTCGCTTTGACGACTGGGCAATGGATGGGGTCCAAAGCCTTCTCGCCGGTTGAGCTCCTTGAGAATGCGCTCTGCGGCTTTTACTTGCTGTGCATGGACTGCAAGAGGTTGAAGGACGAGTTTGGCCGGCGGTGGGAGTCCCACTTGATGGCCCTCCCCACACTTCGCAACCTGCTCATGTCGTCGGTGCACATGGTGGAGAGGGTGGCTCACCATCCCGCCGGTGAGGTCTTTCAGCCCTGCCACACAATGGAGGACGCCGCCGAGCACCATTTTGGAAGCGTCAAGTCCCTTGCTGGCTCCAAGTCCATCGCTGGTGGTCAATCACTCAAAGCAGGCTTGCTTGCTACCCAGCTGCACCATCTCCGACTGCTGCGCCAGCAGCCAAGGCACGTAGACCAGAGCGAAGCTCGCCGGTGGAATGGCCTCCCGCAAGACAAGCTTCAAAAACATGCGGTCCGCGCTTTCAATCTGGCGTGCCGCTTCGAGTCTTGCTGCTCAGTCAATAAGACTGCAGAAGAAATCGCCGGTGCATTCTCTCGCTGGTTTGAGGAAGAAGGCCGCCAGCTGCTTTTGCGCTTCCCTCGCGTGGGCAGCCAAGAGAAGCCACGGGACGATGAGCTCATGGAGGAGGAGTGTGCGTCTGGGGCAGAAGATGATGAACTCGCTGGTGTCACCGGCGCTGCGGCTGACCCAGATTTCCAGGTGCTTCAAGGCTTGGAGCTGGAGCAGACGTACAAAGCTCAGATAGTGGACCTGCAAGAGAAAATCCTCAACGAGCCTCTCGCTGGTCCACACCCCGCTGAGGAGCGCGAAGGTCCGCAGACTGTCTCCGAGCCTGACGCTCGCAGTGCTGCAGCGCTCGCCGGCCCGCGCACTGTCGCCGATATCCTGAAAGAAGCAGGGCTCGAAGCTTTCAAGCCAGATCCCGCAGACTCAGCCTCGAGGCTTGCTGATTTCAAACTGCACACCCACCGTGCGCATTTGTTTGATTTGGGATGGTTTTGCCGGGTTGCGATGGCTTATGATAGATTACTCAAGCTTCATCGCATTTCGTATTATTTCGTTGTGTTGTGTTACCTGATGTTACGTGTGTTTCTTTGTCTTTCTATGATTCTATTCGTTTCGCCACCTTTCGCAATGTTTCGCAACTTCGCTCCTAAAACGTGGATGAATGTTGAATAATGTTGATAAAAGTATATAGCAGTTGTGTCAAGCAAGGGGCAGGAAACTCGATCAAGCCCACTAGCGCAGCAGACCAAAGCAGCCTACCCATGATTACCCATGAAACGTCTATAAGATTCTATGAGATTCTATAAGCATCTGCTCAGGTGTGTGAGTCGCTTGCACAAGCTGGCGGGCACAATGAGCGGATTCATCAAGATTGTTCGGCTCCGCGAGGGCTTCCTTTCAGCAACGCAGCTCGAGCAGGGAAAGCGCAAGATGACGAGTCATTGCCGCATGTTGAGCGAGCTGGCCAAGGCACAGAGAAGCTTCGGGCTGTGCCTGGAAAGATTATGGCGCAATGTGTTTTTTGCCTTTTCAAGATTTTGCAAGATTTTTGCTGCTTGTGTGATCTGGTGTGAGATAGTGTGAGTCATTGAGAACCCCTGCGAGAAATCTTTCATTATCTTTGGACATGTTTGGATATCTTTGGATATCGTTGGTTTTTTGTTGCACTTGCATTTGCTAAGAGATTCTGAGAGGATCGGGGAGGCTTCAGAAATCTTCAGAAGTAAAATGAAACAGCCACAGGGCAACGTAGAGATATGTAGAGAATGCTTGTGATTTAGCATGAGATAGCATGAGCCAGCACAATGTAGTGATACGTAGTGACCCTTCGCGCATCTTCGCGCGTGTGCGATCGTGCGCGCGTGATTGTGTTTGTGCGCATTTGTAGAGGGTGCTTGGGCCATGTTGGGCCCCTTTGGATCCCTTTGGAATCCTTTGGAGTTTACACGCACTGTTGGCAAGTGCCTAAGCGGCATCAGCCAGCCCATGCCAACCCGCGTCCCAAGATTTCCTGATGCCTTTTTGGCAATTTGTGTTTTTGATTGTACTAAAAATATTTAAGCAGTATGTTGATTGTGCTTGTCTGCTTTCATTTGCTTCTGCTGCGACCCTTCCTGCTCAGGTCGGGCAATCGGCAGGGACGTGCCTACGCCTGGCAAAACTTCAGCAAACTGGTGTGCAGCGTTGCCAACAAGCCAGCGCAGGAAGCTGCAGACGCAGCGCCGGTTTCGCAGGTCTTGCGATCCTTTCGGCCTTCGCACATGGTCGCGGAGGACGGGCGTCGCCGGTACCAAATTGTGGCCTGCAGACTGCACCCCTGCTCGACGGTCCGCCCGGCAGTGGTCATGGAAGTCTTCCGGGCATCTTACAAGAAGAAGGGCGGCTACATCAGTGCAAAGGCGGTGGATGAGGAGCTTCCTGCCACTTTCGCCGGTGCCATTCGCATTTTACTGCTTGAGCCACACAAGCACAATGCTGACGGCAGTGCTCGCTACGTTGCGACTTGTTTGTCAGAGGCGGTCTCCCTGGACCCGCACGATGATCTGGGTGTCGTGCTTTATCAGCTGCCGGACTGCCACCTTCGGATAACGGAGCATCGCCAGTATCTGGAAGTTGAAGTGAGCAAGGCAGCGTCAGACGGAATGAAGGCGGGATCTCAGATTATCCAGGGACGCTTTGACTAACTCTGGAATATTCTGAATATCTCTGAACTGCTCTGAGGTGTCAACATATGTCGACAAAAGGATACAAAAGGGGTGATAAGGATTGATAAGGGGTGTGTGGGCATGTGATGGCATTTCATGACATTGCGTGGCATATCATGGCGCGTGGCCCATCATGGCATGGGGTAAATTGGGGTATATCATGGCCCTCCTTGATCCAGTTTGATCCAATTTGCTCCATCTTGATCCGCTGCAGGCAGCAGGTGCTTCCGGGGCTACGCCCATCAGCGAGAGCACTCGCCGGCCCAATGCTGTCTTCACACAGTCGTCGTTTCCATGGTCAAAAGAGGGACGCAGTAACATTGAGCAGTACATGCTACTGATGAAGGAGATGTACGACAAGAACAACAAGCCCTCTCTGCTGGTTGCCGAGGACGGGGCGATCGCCCCCTTGGCAAACCGAAGGTCGCTCGGTAAGTGTAGCCAACGTGAGTGTGCTGTTGTGGGATGTCGTAGCCTCGCCCCAGAAGAAGGCGGGAATAGGCGGGGTATGGCAGGATAATTGTCTCAATCACTTTCCGATATTTTCAGTTCTGGTCGGCCATCCGCCCCATTCCGCCCCACCAGCTCAGGCACAGGCCAATGTGGAACAGCGTCCTGGCCCGCGCTGCTGAGTTTTTCCACTGGACTGTACCGAAGGGAAAGTCAAGCGCGCAGTTTAGTCATTACGTGTGGTCAACTTTTTCGTCGGTTGCGCCTGTGCAGTCGGCAGACAAATTTTTGTCCTTCCTGAAGGAAGTCGACACAGTAGCGCTGCCTGCGCTCCCGCTACCATAGATTACCATAGCTTACCCCGGGATCACAAGCCATCGCAAGCCTGCGTGTCTCAAGGAAGATAGATGTCAGAAGCTGGGGTGATTGTTCGCAGCCCAATATGCCTTTAAAGTCCCATACAACATCACATAACACCAATCCCAACTAACATCAAGTAGCCAACTCGTTTGGTTGTACCAAGAGCCACTTGTGGTAGGAATTCGCACTCAGGCTTGCTGAATCTTGCTGAAGGGAATCTGGGAAGCATGTTTGGCGCCTAAGCCCTGCTCGAGGACTAAAGGTGAGATAAGGTGAGTGTAGGATAGGAAAGGCGCAGCACACGTCGAAATGATGGATGCAGGTGGCTTTGGCGCCAGCATGCAGGGTCCTGTTATGTCCTGTTGCAAAGCAACAAAATACGAAACAGAAGGTGGGGAAAAATGGCGGCAGCGTGCTTTCCCGACTCCCCCATACTTGATTTTGTTTACCCACAGTAGCTTAGTGTTAGGATGTGTTAGGGGCTAAAAGCAATTATAAGATGTTATTAGCCTGACGACTCCACGATATTCTACGACCGTGACTTAAGTTGTTGGTAGTCGTGCCGCAAACCGCCGCTCTATTAGATTCTATTAGTCTATTTTGTTATGTTAGTTGGAGTGCGCTTGCGGCAAAGACTAGGGCGCCAAGAACGTGAGTTTCACAGTTGGACGATGTTGGACGCCCATGATCTATATATATATATATAATATACATATTATTATATATTATTTATATATATATATACATGTTTCTGGCGTAGTATGCGTGTATAATGATATATGTATATGACTGTATATATGGAGGTATATGGATGTATTTGGCATATATACAATTCTATACATATATATGTACCATTACTATGATATAGTCGCAAGCTTTTGGTTGAGGTCCCACAAAACAAACGCCGTTTAGTTCCGGGAGGTTTCAGGCTTTTGTAACGCTGACAGCAACCAGGACATCCCAGGACATCCCAGGACCTTTTACTGTCAGTTTCGGTTTTTGGTGATGTGTAAAGAGGAACTTTTGTTTTCTTCTCATGGTACATTTGTGAAGTGGCCAGGCAGAGATGCGGCGCATTGCGGCGCCGGCTGAGTCAGCCCAGGTTTCACATGGCTTCGCATATTCTAACATGTTCTCACCCTAGGTTATCGACGATTATCGCAGGTTAGCCATGGTTAGCCATTGATCTGGGGTCAGGGGTTATCAAAGTCAAATGGGGGTGTTTCCCTTTACCCTACCACTTAGCGAGTTGATGGGGCTTGAATATGGCTTGACTGAGCATGACTGAGCGGCGGGCAAAAAGCATGCCGCAGCCTTGTGAGATGTGGTTTTCCTGCTTGTTTTGGTTGTTTACACTTTACGAAATGTATTTTAGGGGGGGGGGTGAAACTCTCGCATGGCCTACTCCATTGAGTGAGTGAGTAAGTGATTGAAGGATTGATTGATTGATTGATTGATTAATTGATTGATTGATTGATTGATTGATTGATTGATTGCTTGATTGATTGATTGATTGATTCAGTGAGTGAGTGAGTGATTGATTGATTGATTGATTGATTGATTGATTGATTGGTGCCCCCCTGCCCCCCCCCCCCCCTCCCCATGCACCTCTCTCGTACGTTAGATTGATTGCCGGACCAATGTAACCGCCCGGGGTTCTTACTGGGCCAGCCGCTGATAAACTGCTCATATTGCGCAATGTCAAAACGGCCAGCTTGGCTTGAAATGTAAAGATCTGGTCATTTGGCTTGTTTCTGGGCTTGGCCAGCCGCTGATAAACTGTTCATCTGGCGCATGTCAAAACGGCCAGCCTGGCTTGAAATGTAAAGATCTGGTCATCCTTGCTTGAAATGTAGAGATCTGGTCATTTTGCTTTTTTTACATCCCGGGCCAGCCAGTTCCAAGCCTCTTTTTTGGATGGGTTTTGCTTCTTTTCTTTTAGAATCGGCTTGAATCCGTTCATGTAGCAAAGGTATAAATTGCCATCCGGGCTTGAAATGGACAGATCTGCACTCTCTTCTATTAATATTCAAACCTTAATGGGGCCGCCGCCCCCTTGGGCTTTCTGTTGGACACTATGGCTTTTGAGATCTCGACTAGGACTTTCGTCTCAAAGATCCTGGTAAAACCAAGTTTTCGGTCATTTTTGCAAATTTTAAGACGGGGGTTGCGAGCGATAAACTCCACAACTCTGGAAGTCATTGCAAGCCCGGTTGCGTTTTTTTGTGGCTCCGCACGAAGAAGTTGACGCATCAACGGGAGAGCGGGCTCTAAATGACGGGGATGGAGGAGGAGGAGCCGGCGAAGGAGAAAGGACCGGAGCAGAAGGAGGAGCAGAAGAAGGAGAAGCAAAAGGATCAGAAGAAGGCGCCACAGGAACAGAAGGAGGAGGAGCCGGCGAAGGAGAAAGGACCGGCCCTCTTTTTCTCCTCCTCCTCCTCCTTCGCCTTGTCCACCAGGCGGTCTGTGCACCGTTGCCACATTGACAAGTGGGAGCGGAGGTCCGATTCATGTTGCTCCCTCGCCTTTTTCAAGGCTGTTTCCAGATCCACCTCCATCTGTTTTTTTTGTATCGTGGCCCACTCCCTCCACCTCTTCTCCGCCTGAGCCAGCTCCAATTTATGTAGCTCTTTCATCTCGTTCAATGCACTGGCGTGCTGCGTCTTCATGTCGGCCTTCTCCTTGGCGTGCTTCGCCTGCATGTTGGCAGTGTGGCTGCTGAAACTCGCGTCCTGACTGTGGATGTGGGCCATGAGTTCCTCTTTTTGTTTTGCCACGGCTGCCAGTTTGTCCTGCTCGTGACCTGCAGCCTCCTCCGCCTTCTTCGCCACAAGATCCGTCAACTGTCGCCGGAGGTCGACAATTTCCAGCCTGAGCTGTTCCTTCTGGGCCTGGACCATTTCCACATGTTCCGTGAGTCGATCGTTGGCCCTCACCAGATACCTGTTTTGTCTGGCTTGCGAAGCCGGCCTGTAGTCATGCACCTTCGGGGCGGCGGGCGTTGGTCTGTTACCCCCCCCGGGGACACCACTTCCGCTCCCGCCGCCTCCGCCACCACTTCCGCTCCCGCCGCCTCCGCCACCACTTCCGCTCCCGTCGCCTCCGCCACCACTTCCGCTTCCCGCCGCCTCCTCCGCCCCCGCCGCCTTGGCCGCCCCCGCCCTTGCCACCTCCGCCGGCTCCGTGTGGGCCCTGTGGCCAGTCCGTCACCCCACCAGTTCCAGTCCATTGCCAGCAGAGGTGACTTTTCACTGACGGCCCGGGCAGCTTTGAGCACTGAAATCATACAACTCACTCAGATCACTCCAATCAAGCAAATCAAGCAACATAAGTCACATGCGCTTCATTCAGCGCTGTCCCGCCGCTTCCTTCAGCGGCCTCCACGCCATTGTTGCACATGTTTTTTTTGGGAACGCTGCCAAATTAAACGGCACTTGCTCAAGATGATGCGCGTCTTTCCAGCAAACATGGACATGAAAGTGGGCAAAACCAGGCGTCCCTGCAAATCGTGTCGTCCTTGCCAGTGTTCGTGACATCGACCTGCCGCAGCCGACAAGCTTGAGAAAAAAACAATTGACAGGAAGTCTGCGGTGCGCATTCAACACCCTGCCTCGTTCTGTGGGTTGTGGTAAAAACATGAAAAATGACAGGCATTATTATTGCACATCCTTTTTTGGTTGATGGGGGGGCCTCCTTCGGCTGCCCTGCCTCATGCGGCAGATTTCCAATCGTTTGTGCAAGTCTGAGCCCCCGACCAGAAAGATCTGGGTCCTGCTCCTGATGATGGCGGCGGCGGTTTGGTGGTTGCTGATGCCGGGCCCCCCTGCGCCTTTGTCTTGGGCTGCTGCTGCCCCGTTCCTCCTCCTCCTCCTACTGGTGGTGTGGCCTGCCCATCTCGTGATGGCTGCCCTGTTCCTCCTCCTCCTCCTCCACTTGCTGGCGCCGGCTGCCCATCTCCTCCTCTTGGCACTGGCGCGGGGGTGGCAGGCTGCCCTGTTCCTCCTCCTCCAATTCGGCAGGCTGTGGTAAAAACACTAGAATTGCCAGCCATTTTGTTGACATTGAAGCGACATTGAAGCAACTGTGGATTGAAGCGCTCCTTGTGATTTGCTATCCTGGAATTTGGATTGACCCTAAACCCTAAAGTCTAAGCCGAGCCCACCAACCCC